GAATTCATAAAAATTCTTAACTGAAACCTTCCATGTCTTGGAGATTTGATTTAACTGGTTATAAATAAATTGTGATGTTTTATGCCTCACGCTTTCCTTATTACTCACAATAATTCTAAGTGACAGTAGCAGATCATATGTATTCGGAAGCCTAGCATCTCGTTGAAGAAGCGTATTCATCTTCCACTTCTCCAGTTCTCCGTTCGTTACACAATACTGCAGACAACTTCTGAGTCTAGACTTAAGGGTTTCCGTAAGGTCCCTCTTGATTGCATTCTAGGACCAACTTACTAATCCACTCCACTCGCCTCTTCAAACGAAATGAAACGTACTCCAACATCAATCTATTAAGGGATTTTTTGAAACACTGTTTTTCTACATGCTTATTCCTTACTTCTCGCCAGTTATTATTTCCATAAATTACCTATTAACTTGCAAGCTTTCAATTTTTGCATAGGATGGCCTCATATTTCGTTTGTCCATAGCGGAACGGCGTGAGCTGCATCTTCTACAGCAATTGCCTTTTCTTCGTGACTCGTTCTCCGAATCGAATGTCACTAACCAATCCTCATCCGGTGTTTGCGATGACGGCTGGACAACAGTTGGTTCAGGAGGTGCGGTGCCCGCTGCCATGAACCGCAAGGAGAAGCGGGGTACAGGTCTGCTTTCTGCATTCAACCGAGTGCCCCGAATTGACACTCCATTGTCACTTGCCTGGGCCAGAATGCATCTTCACCTTCCCCAAGTGGCCAGCCTGCTCATGGCGATTTCTCGCTCCCATCCCTTCGCTTATCCACAGGCTTGTCGACTCGCTAAGCGCTGGCTGGCTGCTCATGGCTTTCCAGTGATCACTTGTCCAGAGCTAGCTTCTGAAGAGGCTTGCCTTTTGTCCCAAGACCCCGGCTGCTCAGTGTCTTCTAAGCTATCAGGTGCTGGGCAGTACTTTCTCCTTGCTCGTAAACAAGGGTCTCGCATGGCTGGTGTTCTCGGATATGGTGCCAACCGAATGACGGAGATCGCACTTGAGCTATTAGTTGCCAGGGCTGGCGGCTTCATTGGCGGAGTTGTCGATGGATTGTCAACTGATCGCCAGGGCAGCGCGCATCTGCTTGCTAATCAGAAGGCAATGTCGCCATTTGCCGTCTTCCTTCGATTTCTCAACCTTCTGGCTAATTTCAACTGGGAGACTAAGCCTTTACTCATCAATTTAAACGATGGATTCTCGGGTACAAATTTAGTGCGGCTGTAAGCTAATTAAGGAGGCTTTATACTCATAGTATGTAGATGTCGAGACTATCAAGTCTCGATTAGGAATCCTAGTCGCCCTAATTGATGAAGGACTGATCGTTGAATTTTCCCATAGCACCTTTGAGCTTCACTTAGTCTTGCTTTATTAAAGGTATTCTTATCCAGGGCGTGCTGCAGTTTTGTTATCGTCTGAGTCTCATCTACACTCACAGTGGAAATTGAATCAGGTTATTATTTAGACATGCTGCCAGTGCTTCGTATTTTCACGAATGACGCA